TTTTTTTTTTAAGCACACGCACTCCATCTATTGGTGGGGAGCAGCACCTGCTGGAAACCGGGTCCAGCGTCCCATAGATACAACCATATCCTCTCAAATTGGCACGAGCTGGGAACCGGGCCCAGCGTCCCTTGAGTACGTTCAGAAAAACCATCAGAAAATTTCATGACAATGAGACTAACGGTATACTGAGGCTACTTCAGAGCTTTTTTGTAAGGAACATTCAGAGATAAACAAAAACCAGAAGAAGACTCGGGAATCCACCAACAGTCCTCCTCACCCCACTCCGGCAAGACTTACTGCAGCAAAGCCACCATCTCTACTGCTGCTATGCCCTATTTCTGTCCTACCAGCTAGCCCCTTCACTAGCAGGATGCGTGATACCTTTCTCTCTCGATCCCTTACCTTCCCGTTACTCAGAAAAGGTACGGGAATAGACTGCAAAAGTCCTAAAAAAGCCCCCAATCCTGCAAAATCCCTAACAGATCCTTCCAAGGATCTCCAACACTGTCGTATTCCCTGCCGAGCCTTTCATCCAAGTTAAAAAAAAAAAAAAAAAAAAACAAGGTGCCACAGGCCCCAAAATAACTTTTGGCATCTTTTTTGCACCCATCAAACACGTTCCCGCCAGTTTTACACAGCAGGCGTTACCGGCCCAGCCGGGTGGACAAAATGACACGAAAAGTCATTTTGGGGCCTGCGACACTTTTTGCCCTTTTTTTTGGGGGGGGGGGTAACTACGGCGCAGTCACAAAAAGAGTTTGTAACTGCACTTGAAACTGCGTTTTAGCAGTTCAGTCAGGGCCCGAGTTTCAATTGCAGTTGAAACTCAGGCTGCCTTTCGGTAGCAGTTCAGTCAGGCCCCTCGTCTATCCACCAACAGCAGATTTAAAAAAAAAAAAAAAAAAAAAGCCATCCCTTAAGCTGGGATTGCAGTCCGATACAGGATGCTAAAGTACTTGTCTGGAACTAAATGAAGCCATCCAGTTAGCTGCCTCGCGTGGAATCCGCCCTGCCTGGCTGGCAGGCCGCTACAAGGACCTCATAACAAAAAGCAAAGAAAGAAAAAGACATGTCTCACGGTCCTCACATACTGGCCAGATACGTTCCTCAAAGCACTGGTGTAACTTCCACCTACCTAAGGGTCTTCCCCACGTCGCTGGATTCGAAGTTCCCCGGTTCTTTTCTTTTCTTTTTTCCTCTTTTTCTTTCCTTTTAATTCTTTGGCCTCCATCCCTGCACTGTTGAAATACGGACTTAGGTTCTGAATTGTGTACGGCGGCCCCGCCACACCCTGCCACGCGACATCTCGGCCGTGGCCAATCTGGGGTGTGGCCGAGACATCTCGGCCATGGCCAATCTGGGGTGTGGCCGAGACATCTCAGCCGTGGCCAGTCTGGGGTGTGGCCGAGACATCTCGGCCGTGGCCCAACCATGGGGCTTTTTTTTTGTTTTTCCCCTTCCAGCCGCGGCACAGCGCGGCGCGGCGCACGACCAGGAAAAAAAAAAAAAAAAAAAAAAAAAAAAAAAAAAAAAACCAACAACAGCCTTGTGCCTGACCATTGCCGGACCCGTGAATGAGAACGGAACCGGCCACCAGAACGTGACCGGCCGTTCACCGGGTCCAATTTCCGTGAATGGCCGTTCACGGGGCCGTTCACGCCCCTGGTGACCACGCGGCGGCCCGGGTGGTCGGGGTCGGGGCGCGATTGGAGTCGCGTGGGGTCCAGATAGGACCCCATACCTTCAAAACAGGAAAAAAAAAAAAAAAGCAGGACACGAGTGTGTGTAAAAAAAAATATAAAAACAAATTGGGGGGTTCTGGAAGGGGGGGGGTCGGTGTAGGCCCTGCAGGGCCGTCGCAGGGACGCCTCAGGAAGAAAAAAAAAAAAATTGGGGTGTTGGTAACACCCCGCATAGCACTCTCTCTCTCTCTCTCTCTCTCTCTCTCTCTCTCTCTCTCTCTCTCTCTCTCTCTCTTGCACGCGCGCGCGCTACAGCTATCTCTCTCTCTCTCTCTTGCATGCGCGCTAGGGCTCTCTCTCACACGTGCGCAACGGGTGTGTGTGTGTGTGTGTGTGTGTGCGTGTTTTGAATTTTCACCACAACAGCCCCTATTCCACCCAGATGAACAGATCCAAAATCAAAGCACATTCAATCCTATTACAGACAACGAAAGCCCTTGAGTTTTTTTTTTTTTTTTTTTTTTTTTTTGGGTATTGCGTAACATTCGCCGGCGGCTGTATCCAACTCTCAGCTAAATTTGTTTTTCTTAGGGACCGAATCTATGAATCCCCCTCGGCGGCGGCCATCCGCGGCCGAATCCACGGACGTGGCCAGTCCGCCAACCCCGCGAACGCGTCCGCGCGGCTTCGAAGCCACGTGGCGGCCGCAGCGGAGCCACTTTTGGAAATCGGGAGACGCCACGTGGCGGCGCATCCCCGGCCCCACCCCCCCACACAAAAAAAAAAACTAAAAAGATCAACTTTGGTTGGGGGGGTATGGGCGAAATCGAACGAAATTGGGGGAAAAAAAAAAAAAAAAGAATGCATTTTTTTTTATTATTATTATTTTTTCCGTTGATTGATTGATTGATTGATTGATTGATTGGTGCGGTCGGGGTCGCCCCGCCCCGCCTTTGATTGATTGATTAGTTTCGTCGATTTTCTTTTTCTTTCGTTGATTGATTGATTTTTTGATTGATTGATTGATTGATTGATTGATT